CAGCACAACATCAAGGCTCTTGGTGAGTGTCAGGCCCATGATCCCCTCTCCAACTGCATTTCATGACCCTGGCCCTTTATACTAACTGTGGGCATCTCCAAAGGCCTCTGTGCCCATGCAGAGTCTTCTTCCCCAGTCGGCAATGCCCACTAACACTCACACCACACCCCATTATCTGGCCTGGGAAGGGTCTACCAGATGGCTAAATCTTATCAGATGCCTGTCCTATGTGCTAGGGCATATTCATGTCATACCAAAGCACTGTTCACATGAAATTACTATTCTTTCAATGTGAACATATTTGCCTTTCCCCCCAGATGGTGAATTCCTTGAGGTCAGAACCATGTCTTATTGGTCCTCCATTTGCAGTGCTTACTACAGCTCCTGGAATATAGAAAATGCCAAATTACCAAATTAATCAACAAATGCATGAATTAACGAATAAATTATCCACCTTACTCTCAAAGGAGAAATTCCACATCCTAACATCTGACTATGACAAGGGTAAAGGAAGATGGGACTACAGCAACATACTACCTTATCAGTAATTTGCTTGTGTTCATAGAATCAGGGACATGTAAAGGGCAATGAATGAGTCCCCAGCAAAACATATTGCGTATTAAGCTTCAGTGTTTGAAACTTAGTCATCTAAGATGTTGTGCTACTTACTGCAACAATGAGGAAATGTGTATCACTGTCCCTAAAAGCAAGGTGTAGGAAAAGTAAATGCAGAGGGATGTTCGCTCTTTGATATACGTCATTCCCAGAACAATCACAACTCTCCCGCCCCAGCTTAGGACAGCTGAGGCTGCAGTCTCAGTCTGACCTGGACGGGTCAGCCAACAACGGCCTTCACATGCCCACCTGCTCATCCCAAACCTTCTTCCCTGCTTCGGAAATGTGGTATCAGCGAGAGAAGTGACTTGGAGTAACCAGATGGCAAATGGAGAGTAGTAAGTCCCATGGGACCCTACCAGCTTTGGAAGAGTTCTCTTATAAAAGAGTTCTCTTATAAAAATTTTCTCAGGAAAACCTCCCAAGAGACTGCTTCTCCCATCTTCTCCACTCTTCTTTTCCCGTACTCTTTTCTTTCATCTCATTTGTTTGTGTCCCTTGGCTCCTTCTCTTATGCCAATGATCCCTAAATCTGTATGTCCACCTCAGCCTCTGAAGGTCTCATTCTGGTTTCTGTCAAAAGAAACCAAACTCCTCCACCTGAGGACACAAAACAGGCCGAAAAGGTAGAAACCTTCTCTAGTACCAGTGAGATTTTCCTGACAAGGTCTTATATAGAAAGAGGATCTCAAAGGAACTGTGATATCATAAAGGGCAGGAGTTGAAAGGGGACAGTGTTAAGCACCCAAACCACTGACAATCATCCGGAACCGGGTTGGATCCCAAAACTACCCAGTGGCATCTGGGCCCATTTCTATAAGGTATAGTTATTTGCCACTCGGGCAGGCAGCACCCACCCTCCTTAAATTCTCTGAGGCATCTGTCACTATTAACTTCCCTCCCCTCCTCCACATGTTGGCCATCCTCTCCCCCATCCTGGGCCCCAGGACATCACTCCCTCTCAGGTGTCCTTAAGTCCTTCTTAGCTCCCTGCATGGTATCATCTCCTCCAGGTATACTGAGGTTTGGCAATCAGCCGACTGTCTTGTCTCCTCCTCAACTTGGGCTCAACTCATCATCAAATCCATTTCTTCTCCTTCCTGGACATGAATCCTGAATGCACTTCCCAGCTCAGCAGGGAGTCTGCTTAAGACTCTCTCTCCCTCTGCCCCTCCCCTGAGTTGGCATGTGCACACACCCATGCTCTCTCTCTAAAATAAATAAATAAATCTTTAAAAATAAATAAATAAATCTCTTCTGTGAGAGGTCACTGGAATGTTGAGGTTTCTTTGTTACAGCAGCTACCATCTTTGTGGTTAAAATCCAAACCCGTAATTATTAGTCCAAACTTCTATCCCTAACATTAGGCTCAAATTTCTAATTTCTTTCCTCTTCTTTACCAGACTTACTCCTAATATTTTTCAGGAATTACTCCCGGTCCCACCTAGGCCAGGTTGGGTTTCTTTCCTATGTGTGTCTGGTGCACCTTACTCCTCACAATCAACATAACCGTCTGTATGATTGTCTGCCTCTTCTACTCTATGGTAAACATTTTGAGGGTAAAGACTGTGTTTTAATCTCTATATTCTTTGTGTGTCTGCTTGGCACTCAGGAATAGTTTCTTTTAAGAACACAGGGATATATGAATAAATAAGGGATTTGTCATATTAAAAATATGAAAGCCGAAAGGTGGTGTGATCAAAGTCTGTAAAAGGATGGAGAAGCTGAATTGGGAAGTTTTAAAATTAATCCTTAGAAAAAGAAAAAGAAGAAGAAACTGTTAAAGGTTGAAAGGATTTTGAAGATTTAAGGACAAGCAAAGGAAGGCTTTACTGAGTAGTTAATAAACTTAAAGTTCTTAGAAAGTGATAGGAGATGTAATAAAAATTTGTAAAAAGTCACTGAAGGAAACTTCATTTGTTTGGAGTACAGCCTAAGCCTTCTGAGGTTGATCATGAAGGAAAAAATACAGCCTTTTAGAACACATCCCTGAGATCCCTGGAGGACAGGAGACATTTAAAGCACCTCTTTTGTAATAATATCAAAATCATTATTTAAACACATTATAATGATGTTGCCTCATGTTCCACCAGCTAACATCCCATGACAGTTCAACTCAGTGCCCCCACCCACTGTGCATCAGCATTTAGAGCACCTACACAAGACCCAAGGTGAGAAGTAGGTGACCAGAAGTGGAGCTAGAGAACAATCCAGCTCTTTCCAGAGCATTCTTTTTACCTCCTTCACCCTTCTGCTTACAGAACTTTTTTCCTGTGCAAGCCAAGGAAGAAGTATTGTACAAAGCCCACATGACTCACAGAAATAAGCAACAATTTCACTTCTAAGACCTTTCTCCTCTTCACTCCTGGGGAATCCCACACAAAGAAATAACTAGACTAATCAAAAGTCTGACTATTTCAGTGACTTGTATTTACTCTATAAAAACTAACTTTTAAAATACAGATCATAAACGATAGCTGGCTTTTATTCATCCCTGACCTTTCAATTGCTTTCACTGGTTCAAGACATCTAACTTTCATCTGCGAAGATGTGACTGATCTAAAGGAAGCTAAAACATAAAACAGACATTTCTCTTTTACAGAAATAGTATTTAACCTTTAGCTCAGAACTTCTTCTGAAAGATTTGAAGTGCTATACTCACCTGCAGCTGGGATATAGTTAAAGGGTATCGGAATAATATCCAGGTAACACCTTCGCTGCAAGGTGGAATGGTAAGAGAGCCTTCATACACCCAATAATCCCGCAGCAAAGGATCTGTGCAACCGGGTGGACATGTCACAAAACAGTAAATTAATTAATAATAATTTTGAAGATGCCAACAATAATCTTCAAAATTACAAACTGCCTATAAACAACTTTTCCGAATGAGGTCATTTTCAACTACAGCCTCACATATGCATTCTTAAACTAATCATCACGGAGAAAATAACCAATGGGAAAATACGATGAGCCCTCTTCCTAATATTCATAGTGATTTCTATCCATGTATCACTATATAAGCCAAAGATGGCTATCCAAACCTGATATATACATATATGTGTGTACGTACAGATCCAGTTTAGTCACTTTAGAAGAAGTGGATCTGTGTTGTTTTTTACTTTATTGAAGGATTTACCTGACTTATTCATCACCTAACCCAATACTAACTACATAGGAGGCACTATTCTAAGCATCTCACATGAACTCATTCAACCCTCACAACAAACCAATGAGACAGGTACTATTATGGTACTATTATTAGCCCCATTTTTCAGATGGGGAAACTGAACCACAAAGGGTTACATAATTTGCCCACGGTCACCCAGCTAATAACTGGCAGAGCCAGATTCAAAACTAAACAGTCTGACTTCAAAGACTGTGGTTTTAAACATTCTGTCTTAGCCCTCTCTATACATCTCCCTCAACAGCAAAACACGGAAGTCCTATTATGACAGGACAAAACAAACCATTCCTATGTAATCTTTAAGTTCTGCATTAGAACTCTCGATCAAATATGGTGGATAAATGTTCAACACATGGTAAAAACTGGTTTGTTGTAAAGCAATTAAATGTAAGCCGTAGATGATACATACAGTGCATCAGCCTATTTGGTTTTGTTTAAAACACTAAGAAACAGGGGCGCCTGGGTGGCTCAGTCATTAAGCGTCTGCCTTGGGCTCAGGTCGTGATCCCAGGGTCCTGGGATCGAGCCCCGCATCGGGCTCCCTGCTCAGCGGGAAGCCTGCTTCTCCCTCTCCCACTCCCCCTGCTTGTGTTCCCTCTCTCGGTGTGTCTCTGTCAAATAAATAAATAAAATCTTTTAAAAATAAATAAACAAATAAACAAAACACTAAGAAACAGCATATAATTTAGGCAGAGAAATGTGAAGACCAAAATTTTGTACAAAACAACCTTTAACTACAAACTATGTTTTGAGTATTTTATACCCAATTCTTACCTGTGTAGGTATACCTAAATAATTAGAATAACATCTATAGGATAGTAGCACTGTAGAGTTTACCTTATTAAAATTAGATATAAAATCTAATTCACTCTAGAGATTAGTTAAGAACCTCACTGACCAATCCTAGAAGTATATCAAAGTTATGTTATTATGCTCATGCTTTACACAGAGGTAGCAATTTTTGCAAATGAAAATCCAAAGGAAACTCCTCAGAGAATAATGGAAAAAGGGACAAAATGTTTATTATTTCAAAAGGTTTACTCCCATGTGTAGAGCAGTCTGAAAGTGCTACCTACTACAGAGAAAATAAATTGTAAAGAAACTTTACTAATAACATATAGCTATATGTATTGGGAGGTAAACAACGCAATCATATTCACACAGTTAAAATTCACCTGATGAGATCAAGATTAACACCTACCTGGTAATAAAGTATTAGGATTGAAGCAGGGTATTGTTTTGGACTTCCCCTGAAAAACAAAAGAATTCACCATATGTTATCATTAGACTCCTAAATTTTATTATTTTTTATTTTTTTAAGATTTTATTTATTTATTTGACAGAGAGAGACACAGCGAGAGAGGGAACACAAGCAGGGGGAGTGGGAGAGGGAGAAGCAGGCTTCCCGCCGAGCAGGGAGCCAAATGCGAGGCTCGATCCCAGGACCCTGGGATCATGACCTGAGCTGAAGGCAGACGCTTAACCAACTGAGCCACCCAGGCGCCCCAAGACTCCTACTAAATTTTAGAATAAAAAAATTGTTAGCACTGAAAACGCAGGTTGACATCTTTCTCAAATGGCACTCCGGACCGCACAGATCTGGCGCTGTCTCATTCTGTCTTCTCACCAGAGCCACATTGGCTGATTCCAACAAGACACTCCTGCTCTGAGTCCATAGCTATTTCTTTGCGACCACAGTTCAATTTCCCCTATAATTTCAGAGTGAAACTTACAACTGTCTGTCCAGTGTCTGTCTGTCCCACTTTTCCTGCTCCGAGCACATCCACACCAGAGAGTTGGGCTTTGGTGTAAAATGCCTGTACCCTGGTTGGTTCAGAGAATGCTTTTGAAATGACCTTCCCCCTGCTACTCTGACCTCAGCTCCTAATCTTGGCATTACAACCTGCCTCCTAAATTCTCATTTTGTTTCATTTGCATTTGGTAACTTGTCTCTAGGATCTATTGTAGATGCTCTCTTCCTGCAAAGAGGGAAAACTAACACCTGAATGAAAATATTCAATTCTATGGGCGCCTGGGTGGCTCAGTCGGTTAAACGTCTGACTCGGTTTCGGTTCAGGTCGTGATCTCAGGATCCTGAGATCGAGCCCCAAGACAGGCTCTGCATTCAGCATGGAGTCTGCTTGAGATTCTCTCTCCCTCTCCCCTCCAGCTTGTGCTCTCTCTCTCAAATAAATAAATCTTTAAAAAAAAAAATTCAATTCTAATCAACTTTTATCAAAGTTGTATTTAAATTTCAATAAAATTGGGGCTCCTGGGTGGCTCAGTTGGTTAAGCTACTGCCTTCGGCTCGGGTCATGATCCTGGAGTCCCAGGATCGAGTCCCGCATCGGGCTCCCTGCTCGGTGGGGGGTCTGCTTCTCCCTCTGACCCTCCCGCTCTCATGCTCTCTGTCTCCCATTCTCTCTCTCAGATAAATAAAATCTTTTAAAAATAAATAAATAAATAAATAAATAAATTTCAATAAAATTAAAATAATTTCACTAAAATATTTGTGCCATTGTTCAACAGTCACATTTGCAATCACTATTTTAAATAGTGCCACTTAAATTGCTCAGGCCCTAGAGGCAAACAGACCTGTCGTAGTAGATGGAGGTCTCTTGTAAGATGACTCTGTCAATGCAGACATAACAGGGCAAGTTAATGTGTAACCTCTTAGTCTCTTCCTTACTTCTAAGAACTATTTGACACATTAAAGAATCCAGCTTACCTGCTTCCCACCAGCCCCCTGTATTCCATAAAGACGGATGTTGTATGAGCTGAAGCAATAAAAGAAAATTTCTCAACCCATTTCTATTGGACAAATGTCAGTCAAAATATGTCCTTCCCTCTTCTTACCAGCTTTTTGACTAGTCTGTGCTTTCCCTTGGTAGCTGGATTCATTCTAAGCCTGCTCAGGAAATCTATGGTAGATGTTTTTGCCCAGTCCAAGATGCCCTGGGTTTGTGCTGGCCTAGAGCTAATCAGACTTCATTCCCAGATTGATTTTTGGATCGGCCTTGGGTCTTTGAATCTCTGTGCTGTATGTGCAGTAGCCATCCAGGATTAAACTACTGCCCTCCAAGGCCACTCAGATTCAATCGATTCAACGTGAGCATAAAAGGTACTGGTTACAACAGAACTTGGCTTCCCAGCAAAGGTGGGCTGAATCACTACAGAGTCGTATCAAACTAAATCACCTTCTCTGAGATATGTGATCTTACAGCTTATGTGTACTTGCCTTTTTTCTTTTTTTAACATAAATGCTTTGAAGTATAGTCGCCATAATTTTTGCTTCATTTATACAACTTTCCTATAACCAATGGGCGGAAGGGGTTAACTCAGCAGGCCTGGGTTGCTCAAAAAGCTGCCTGTCTTGAGGACTGGCCTTGATTGGCTCTGAGGTCTTGGGATATTCTGCCTGGTAAGAGTGTTTTTGTATGCCTGAGGCCTCGGGCCATGCTATACCAGTTGGACCCGTAGAGTTTACTCCGACGACAATGTGATTTGTGATGAAGGCTTGGTTTGGCTGGGGCTGGGGGCGGAAAGGATGGAGGCAGGGTAGCGGAGGTCAGTTACACAGACACTGCATGCTCACATAACTGACCCCTCATAAAATCCCTATACACAAAGGCTCAGCTAGGCTTCCCTGGCTGGCCACACTTCACATGCGTTGTGGCACATCGCTGCCGAAAGATTTAGGTTCATCCCCACGTGATTCCACTGGGAGGGCGCAGCTGGAAGCTTGTGCCTGGTTTCTCCTGGACTTGGCCCCACGAACGTTTGCACTGTCCTTGTTTTTGATCTGTAGCCTTCCTCTGTCATAAACCACAACCATGAGAGTAACAGCTACTCTATGAGTCTCCTTGGAGTGAATCATCAAATCTGAGAGTGGTCTTGGGGTCTGCTTTCATAACCAGTATTTTTATTTAATAAAAACTTACCTTGTACTGGATATCCTGGAGGATTTCAGTCACAGCCTTCAAGCCTACGTGCTCTTTTCCTATCTGCAATACATAAAGCATAAACCATACCACAACCATCTTTAAATACTTTGCTTTCATCCAAAAGAACTAACAGAAAGTGAAGCTCAAGTCTACCTGAATTTCCTTCTCAGGGAATAAGTAAAATACCTTTTCATTAATAACCAGGTCAGCACCTACATAGAGAAATTGAAGTAAGAGAGGCTAGCACAAGAAAGTATTAGTTCTTGGGGCGCCTGGGTGGGTCAGTCGGTTAAGCATCTGCCTTCGGCTCAGGTCATGATCCCAGGGTCCTGGGATCGAGCCCCACATTGGGCTCCCTGCTCAGCGGGAAGCCTGCTTCTCCCTCTCCCACTCCCCCTGCTTGTGTTCCCTCTCTCGCTGTGTCTCTGTCAAATAAATAAAATCTTAAAAAAAAAAAAAAACTTAGCTCTTAGACATTTTAAAGAACTCATTCTAAATTCATCTTGCTGTGTACAGATTATCACCCACTGTGCTATCTGCAGTCGACCCCTGAACACTGACCCCCGTGCCGTTGAAAATCGCGTATAATGTTTGACTCCCCCAAAAACTAAACTACTAATAGCCTACTGTTGACCAGAAGCCTTACTGATAACAATAGTCAATTAACATGTATTTTGAATGTGACATGCATTATATGCTCTATTCTCACAATAAAGTAAGCTAGAGAAAAGAAAATGTTATTAGGAAAATCATAAGAAGGAGAAAATACATTTACAGTACTGTAAAAAATCCATGTTTAAGTGGACCCATGCAGCTCAAAGTCATGTTTGTTCAAGGGCCAACTGTATATCAAATGAAAGAATACTGCAATGTAAACATTTCAAGGATATTTCTGAATTAAAATTGCTCATCACATTCCAAACCCTTTCATTTTTGCCTCTGGCATTCTAGATAATTGTTATAAAGACTGTACCTATGCTGGGGACGCCTGGGTGGCTCAGTCAGTTAAGCGCCTGCCTTCGGCTCGGGTCATGGTCCCAGGGTCCTGGGATCGAGCCCTGCTGCATCGGGCTCCCTGCTCAGCGGGGAGCCTGCTTTTCCCTCTCCCTCTGCCCCTCTCCCCACCGCCCCCACTCGTGCTCACTCTCTCTCAAATAAATAAATGAAACCTTTTTTAAAAAGATTGGACATAATCATATAATCACCATTTTATTCTTACACACATCAGAATATGCTGTTCACAGATTTCTACTTTAAAACATTATATATCATTACACATTTTTAGTGTAAAAAATGCTCCAAAGAATGTGAGGTTTCAAAAGAAATTTGACATTAAGTATTCTTGACTTTAACTTTAAAAATTATAAACGCCATCTGATTTCCACTTTTCAACCGGGTTTCAACGGTCCATGATAATGGAGGACAGTAACGAAAGGAGGTAATTTAAAATCTGAGATAAACAATGTTATCATTTGCTTTTTCTCTTCCGCACAAATTTGTGCAGGATGACCTACAGGAGTTAGGAAAGCTGTCAACATCTCCACATTCCCGGTTTCTTGCCATGTGTACCACGTGAGAAATATGCCAGGTGAAAGGGCATCAGAGAGCAAAGAAAAGAGACAAGACACTTACATAATCTAAGACAGACCAATCGGTTCAAAAGAGTCAGGACTTCAACTATTTCCCAAGTGTCTGCCATTCCTCAGACAGGCTTTAAAGATGCAAAATGAATTCTCTAAAGTTAAGAAAATAATACTTCAGGCAAGTGCACGCGTTGAGTGCAGAAGCCTGGGCCCGATCTTCGGGGCAACCGACCTCCCTTCGCTGTACTGGTTTAACCGCAGAAGAGGACATGGACCGTCCTCATTCAATTAATATCACCCATTATTACCCTTACTCAGAATGCCCAAACAGCATCAAATACAGTTTTTACATATATTAGCACTTAACTCTCACGGGCTCCTTCTTCCATAAAGATTCCGTACTTTATGGGCAAGAGTTTTAAATCTGCAACAAACTCCGGCTATTACTCCATCTCTTCCCTTTCCTTCTTTGCCAGATCTCTGTAGGAAGAGGTGATAACCACCAAACAGCAAGTATAGACGCTACTCTGCACAGCTGAGTCCCCCAAATCCTAGAGCAGTCCAGGTGACAACACAGCCTGGTACCAGGAGTCTGCCAAGAACCACGAGACCCATTACCTCCTTACTGCTCACCATCCAAAAGGCAACCCGTCAGCCCTGCCCGGCCCTGGCCCTGTGCTTTTCCATTTCTCACTCGAACCTCACCTCATTTCCGTTGTGCCCTCTGCAACAGGGTGCCACCACCTGCTGGTCTGTGTGAACCCCTCAGGGCTGCTCAAGGCCCAGCTCTCCCGGGCCTTCCGAGTGGACGCTGTGCAGTCTCCCCCAGAGACAGGGCTGAAAGCTGTGGTCAGTGCCCTGCGGGTACCCTCCGATGCATACTCTGACCCACAGGCACAAGGCCATCCTCCGAGTGGACCATCCTCCTCAGATACTACCATGCTCTACTTGTGGCGAAGTTCAACTGTCGCCAAGTTTTTTAAAAAACGACCCACTAGTCACTCCCCTGTCACCATCACCTCCTGCTGCCACTACGGAGGACTTCCAACTCCCTGGAATGCGTCTTCACCCCTCAGCCCATGGCTATCAGCCCATGGCTATCAGCCCCCTTCCACCTCAGCACCATCCTGAGAACATTCCCTGAATTTGTTTTCACTCCAAAAACTTCAACTCTGAAAACCATTCCCTCTGACCCCAGCTTCTCATCCATGCAACTTTTTTTTTTTTTAAGATTTTATTTATTTATTTGACAGAGAGGGAACACAAGCAGGGGGAAGTGGGAGAGGGAGAAGCAGGCTTCCTACGGAGCAGAGAGCCCGATGTAGGGCTTGATCCCAGGACCCTAGGATCATGACCTGAGGCAAAGGCAGACGCTTAACGACTGAGCCTCCCAGGCGCCCCCTCATCCATGCAGCTCTTACCCTCTCTTCTCTCTCTCGCCATTCACTGATCTGAGGAGCCACGGCTCCGAGGAGCCTCTTGGCTTTGTCTCTTTCCCTTCCTACCTACTGAATGACACCTCTCCAACCATCCTCAATTCTCTAATCCCTGTGTCCCCCCCAAATCATCTGCTCTGCAAAGAGATCAATGCAACAATTTGCGAGAATTTCCTACTCTTCTACTTGGATAGAGAAGAATCCACAAGATCTTGTCCTGCACCATCTATGATGTTGTCATAAGTGGGTCTCCCACACTGACTGTCAAGTCTATTATCATTCCCCTCCTGGGCTATTTCAAAACCCAATCCCACACCCATGCTTCCCTTGCTCTAGAAATAATTCTGCTTGGTATGTCTCAGAGATAATGAAGGTCATCAGGCATGAGCTCCTCTAACTTCCTGCCTTTCTTCACCTTTAAATCCATCCCATTTCTACCCACTCTTTCTTCCTGACCCTCTGTTTTGGAGAAAGGGTGGGTGCCCCCTGGTCTCTGAGGTTAGTCTAGCCACAAAAGCTCTCCATCCTGCATCCTCTTGTCTCCTCCTCTTATACATCAAGTATCCCTTTTTTTGCCAGTATTTTTAAACTCTGCATCTGCACTAGTGCTTTTTGCTCAGAATAAAAATACAGGCAGATCGCAGATCTTGAAATGAAACAAACAGAACATTCCTGTACATCAGCATGAGTTATTACCCCATCTGTCTTTCTTTTCTTGAGCCACGCTGCTTGAAAGGGAAACCTACGCTCACTGCCTATGCTGACCCCCTCCCATTTTCCCACTCCTCCTGCCGAAGTGTGAGAGCCCCAGATGGACTTCAGTCCCTCTCCTCTTTGCTTCGGTGGACACTCATCAGTCCTTCTTTCCTTCATGAAATTCTTCTCAGTCTTTCTGTAACTTTACTCTCTCCTAGATAACCAGAATCTCTCCTTACAGCAAACTCAGGGAAAGTTAGAACCAGTGCGCATACTCGCAAGCTTCCCCAGGCCTACAACAATGAGCTTCTTCCTGGAATACTGATGCTGGTTCCCAGAGTCCTGGCTTTCAGCCTAGTGCTCTATTAGTCCACGCCACCTGTCCTATGCTAAGGATCAGTTAAGTGAAAATATTCTCATATTTAACTCCATTCACAAATATTTGTTGAATACCAACTCCAGAGATGAAACAAACATGCTTACTTCCCTTCTAGAAATGACTGCTCAGGTATTTGTATTATTTTATTTCATTCTTATTTTTTAATAACAAGACACTGCCTTCTACTTCTATTGCCTCAACTTCTCAAATTTGGGTGCTTTATTAACTTTTTCAGGTTACAAAAATGGATTTCAAAAGTTACTACTTTAGTACATTAGAGATTATCAAAACATTTTTACCGATACCTTGATACCATAATTTTACTCTACTTATACAATGCAGTTATAAAATAGAAGAAATACAGGGCCCTGCCTGTTAAAAAAAACACAAAAACAAAAACAAAAAACCATGAAGTAAACAGTAAGAAGGTTCATTTAAAACTGTAAGAATTTGCTTTTAAATTCTATGACATGTGTCATACTTTCAAGATACTGATCTTAAAATATTAAAAGGCTAAAGCCAGATGCTTCCAAACATCAACAGACAAATACCTGAGAGAGAAATTTATAATGGAAAACTGTTGTGCTTAATAATACTAATGAAATATATACGACCCAAAAAAGGCAGGTTTGTGAAGGCCCCGCTGTCTTCGGAAAATTAAGTTACTAACGATCACCGGGCTAATGTGACACTCAGGTACCACGTTCGCCAAGAGGCAGCCGAGAACCACGCAGAACTGCAATTACAGCAGTGGTTTCAGGTCTTGACGGTGACACCAAATCTGTGTGTGTCTATGACCAGTGACTGACCTCTCTGGCCCTTGGTTTCTCTTCTGTAGGATGGGGAAGGAGAGAGCAGAGTCTCTTCTACCTCTTAATCTTTTAGGACATCCAACAGATGACGAGACAAAGTTAAAAGATCCACGGGGGAAAACTAGATTAAATTTTTACTCTTGAAAGTATGTAGTCTGAAAATTAATTTAATTAATATCCTGTGCCCACCACGAGCTCAAATCTAAACTTTATATTGACTGTATCCACCAAGATCTTCGCCAGTCTTATTTCATCAGTGTTTTTCTATCAGACACTTCAAATCATCTTGGACTGAAAATTATTAATAACAAAGAGCTAAAAGAGTCTACTACATGATTACATCATCGATTTTTCTTCGATTTCACAGCAAGCCAGGGTCCAAAAACATTTTCTAAAATCCTTTTTCATTAATAAAATGAACTTTGCCTTCAGGACATCTTCGACATCATTTCTCCAAAGACCCTGAAGGCCAGTTGGAAGAAAATGTCTACTGACTAAATGAATCTTCTACCAATGACTATGACTGCCCTCTTACGAGCCAGAAAAATCAAGTGTTCTCTTTTCAAATTACCTGTGTTCTCTGCACAGGAGTTTAAAAAAGTAATAAAATTGAGAGAGCACACAAAATATTCTGCAAAGGAATCAGAAGTAAGCATCCCTGAACAATACAACAGTCACGACAGGGGATGATTTACCTGAACAAACAAAGCAATGATGGCAATGCCATGTGGTTTCCCCACGGCCTCATCAATACTGCCAAACAGGGTGGAGTTCCAGTGGATCAGATGGAGCTGGGTAAACAACAGACAAGTCGCCTCGTTAGTAATGCATTTCTAGTGAGAACCACAAAGATAGACCAATTTCTCCTTAATTGTTATCTGTTACATCTCTATGGTACCACATGCAACAAAAGTATCCCAAATAGGCACACATAGACCACTTCTTTAATCCAGGTTCTCTGTAGGAGTTCCTTTCTTCTTATTTCTGAACAGAGGCAACGCTCAGTGGGTCGCGGCCTCTTGAGTTCCACTTTAGTGCTAATCAGGAGCACATCTAAGGACAATGGCAGATTGCACACTGATTTAGTTGCTTTTCCTTAAATGCCATCCCCTCTGGTTCTCGAGAGGACAAAACTTCGGGTCTGGGCACAAACACCAGCACTCATTCCAGGTATCAGTACCTGCAAAATCACATACGGTGTCACCTGGTATTTCCCTCAAAAATAAGACAAAGCCGGCCTCAAATTCTGGTAAATTATTTCAACTCTCTAAGGATATACAGAGATAGCACCCTGTAATGCTGCATCTTCTTAAAGTCATGGTAATATAATGAATGTTGATGTAGAGCTCTAAAAGAAGGCCATTTCCTGCACCGGAGATAAAATTTTATCTGTGAAGGAATGAAAGACATTGCTCTAGAGGACTCCCGCACTCCTGGCTTCATAAAGCTTTGTAGCTTTCAAGTTTATCTAGAATATGTACTTGCTCTTACACCACTGATAAAACACTTGCAAGAAGCCAAATTCAATTCCCCGGTTTAAATCAAATGCCCACTGAGGTTCTTAGTAAAACAGTAGCTAGGTAAACCTTCTGCCTAGAATGCTATCTTCATCATTATAGCTTTTAATCAAGTTATAATTACTTACCATGTTAAAACACTGTCTCGTTTAAAAATCAGTTCTGATCCAAAAGGACAGAGCTAAAATTCAATCACGATGTCATTTTAGCATCCATATTAAAATGTGAAGGCAAATCATCACGGGAATAGTCACCGATTTGCTTTTTCTACCTGCTGAGTTTGTCCTAACTAGAATTCATGATTATAAAGCTGACCGCTAGAGGGAGGTAATGAAGTCCTCTGCCTATAATAGAAACAGGAACCGAGAAAAAGACCACATTCAAGGCCAAGCTAGGACAGACCATGAAAAACCAACACGGACCACGACTGCCCAGTAAATGCAACTGTCAAGGCACTGCCTTTGAGAAAACAATGCTCTATAACGTTTCAATTAATAATGAAAGACAGACCAATTTTAATCTTTCCTCTTCTGGCTCCAACAATAGCTGGAGTCCCAGTGGTACAGATAAGTGTACAGTGTAAAGATAAGAACCCACTGCCTTAATTAAATAAAGAAGGCCCAAGGTTGAAAGCTGTTTCTATTCGGCAAATCACAGAGTTCAAATGAACGTTTTTTTCTCACTTCTCATAGCAACGTTACAGAGTATTTTTAATGAAACAAAACAAGCCAAAAAAAAAGGCTGGTTTCTTTTTGTGTTTCGCCTTGCCACTCCTTATAACTCAGCAACATCATATACTCACACGTGATCTTCAACACCTGCTTCACGGTCTTTTTGTGTTTTAAAAATTGAGGGTCCCCACGCCGTAAGTGGATGCTGCACAAGGTGACTTTGTTTCAGAGAGTGAGTTTACAGTGAAGAAACCAGACAAATGCTACCTGGACCAGGGGAGCAAGGTCAGCATCCACAGTCATCAGTCGTGTTGACAGCATGCACCCTGGACAGGATGTGCTGAAAATGACATGTTACCCCCGTGGTCTTCCCCCCAGTAACCTATAACCCCAGTCTAATCATGAAGAAAACATCACAGGGATCTCAGTAGAGGGACAGTCTACAAAATACCTGACCGGTACTCCTCAGAACTGTCAAGGTCAACAGAAACCAAGAAAGCCTAAGAAAATGTCAGTGACAAAAGGGGCCTAAGGAGACATAAGAACTAAATGTAACATAATATCATAGGTGAGCTCTTACAACACAGAAAAGAAGTTAATTTAAAACTAAGGAAACTGAATAAAATTCAGACTTCATGAAGTACAGATTTCGGTCCACTAATTCTAACAAACATAACATGCTAAGGTAAGATGTTAATAACAGGGAACTAGGTATAGGTTATATGGGAACTTCCTGGACTATCTCCACAATCTTCTAGAAATCTAAAAGTGCTCTAAAAAAAGGGAATTGTTGGCACCTCAGCCAACCCAAGCTAAAAATGGGTAATTGGAAGATCGCTAAGACTCTTGTGTGACTAGCGCATAACACAGAATGAACTAACCAGAGAACCTCTACCACCTGTTGCTCATTCTACCACCTGGGTCTTAGCAGGTCAGTGGCAGAAGAGATTTTTCCCTCACAATCAACATGGGACCCAAGACTGGGAAACACAGTCCTGTTCTGGTACTTACTGGAAACCCTCTTCGCTTGGAGGCTCTTGCTCTCACTTTAAGACCAAACATCATTAGAGATCCTCTTTCCATACCTTTAGAACGTGGTTAATTCAAGGACCAGGCAAATTTCCAACACATTCTGGAAATCAGCTATAACCCAGCAGTAGTAACTTCGCTGCATGACCCACTAACATAACGCTCCACATTTCCGCGGCCTCTCTGCTTCAGCTCACTCTGTGCTCCCTGAGCCCTTCCTCACTCTACCTGCATTAGTGTGCTAGGGCCACCATAACAAAGCCCCACAGACTGGGTGGTGCAAACAACAGAAATGTATCTTCTCGAAGTTCTGGAGGCTGAAAGTCCAAGAGCAAAGTGTCAGCAGGCTTGGTTTCTTCCGAGGGCTCTTTCTTCGTCTTGTAGATGGCTACCTTCTCCCTCTGACCTCACATCATCTTTCCCCTGTGTGTGTCTGTGTCCAAATTTCTTCTTCTTATATAAAGACACCAGTCATACTGGATGAGGGCCCACCCGAACCACCTCATTTTAGCCTAAATACCTCTATAAAGATCCTGTCTCCAAATATGGTCACATCTTGATGTGGCAGGAGTTCAGACCTCAACATATGAATGGGGGGAGGGGAGGCGCAATTCAGCCCATCACACTATCTAGCTCACCCTTTCCTCTCTCCCCACCTTAATGAAAGTTTTTTCAGGTCTCGAAAGCTTGAACTATTCGTATCAACCTCTGCTCTCCTATAGCCCCCTCCTTATTCCTATCATCTTATACTTTGCCTTATATTAGTCTTGATTCTATCTCATAAAGCAAAGCCATAGTGACGGGAAATTACCAGTGTATATGAAGAACCAAAAGTACCTCTGAGGGTAGCTAGAGCGTATGTATGTCTGACTGTGACAGGAAAGATGAGGCTGGAAGTTAGAGGGGTTCGGGTGGCACAGAACTTTAAATGTTATCCTAACTGTATTTTGGGGAACACTAAAAAATATATTAGCACAGTGACTATTATTATTACTTATGCTGCTTAGAATCAAATTTGCCCATGCCAGCGTCCGTCCTTCTAAAGTCCTATGGCAGTATGAGGGTAGAAAAGAAGTGGAAGATGGGACACAGGAGGCTGGAAGATAAGCTAGAAGGATATCACAAAAGCTCCAGCTGAAAGATCATGCCAGAGGTGCATGATGGCTCATTTCATGGGTCAACATGGCTAGGCTATGGTGCCCAGCTGTTTGGTCCAACAAGAGTCCAGGGGCACCCGGGTGGCTCAGTCAGTTAAACGTCTGCCTTCAGCTCAGGTCATGATCCCAGAGTCCTGGGATCGAGCCCCGCGTCGGGCTCCCTGCTGAGCAGGGAGTCTGCTTCTCCCTCTGCCTGGTCTGCCTGCCACTCCCCCTGCTTGTGTGCTCGCACTCTCTCTGACAAATAAATAAAATCTTTAAAAAAAAAAAAAAAACACCAGTCTAGATGTTGCTGTGAAGGTACTTTTTAAAGATGTGATAACACTTAAGTCAGTAGACTTTTAATAAAGAAGATTAATCCCCATAATGTGGTGGGCTTCATCCAATTAGTTGAAGGTCTATGAGAAAAGACTGAGGTCCTCTGAAGAAGAAGAAATACTACCCCCAGATTATAACATACAAATTCTGCCTGAGTTTCCAGTCTGTGACCTGCCCTGCAGATTTTGGACTGGCCAGTTCCTGCGATCTCATGAGCCAGTTCCTTAAAACAAATCTTAGTTTCTCTTTCTGTCTCAGATACGTATTCTCAATATATAGTTTCTCTGGAGAACCCTGATCAATACACAGGTTGTAGAGACAAATGAACAAGCAGAAAGTGTGAAGACAAATGAACAAGCAGAAAGTGTGAAGAAAATGGAGGTTTAAATATGAACAAGACTAGTAGCCATAGGAATAAAGCCAAAGGACTCTAACAATTAAAGTGACAGTATTTGGAATTTCCTCTCCTAAGCCTAAGTGGAGTTCCAGTAGGGATGGGGGACAGAGGGACGAAACAATCCACAGATGATAAGAAAATACATACCAGAACTTCTGCTCATTTATTTCTGTCCTTTTTAAAATTTCAGTTTCCCTATGCCTCACAAAATAATTATATGTACAGAAAAAGATCTAGATCAAATACATATGAGTGCATGAATATAATTTATTACTGAATATACACAATAGTGAGGATACATGCTCCAAAATCCGCTGAGGGACAAAGGAGTTTGAACGGAAAGGCGTAGGACACTTGAGAACATGGTTTAGAAAATGAGGAAGCAGCCCATCCAGTCAAAGGAAGGCTTTGGTAGAGGTCCAAGCAGTTCTTATCAGTCTAGGGAGCTTGGAAGCTAACTTCAAAGCCTAACAACAGTAGACGCAGGCTCTGGGGTGTGTCTGGTCCGTGGTACACTACAGAGCGCAGAGGCGGGGATGCTGGGCACTTCTGCAACTCTGTTGACAAATTCTGAGAGGCAACATGCTCCCACAAAAGGTCTCTGAGCTAGCAATGAAGTCCTGGATTTTTGGTTCGGTTCACGGCTCTTTAGCTCTGTGAACTTCTCAAGTCACTAACTTGTCTGAGCATCAGGATCTGTAA